TGTCAGGAAAGAGAGCGGCAATTTGATGAGGAAAAAAAACCAACATGATCAGACCCATCAATCTACATGTATGGCTCAAATTGTTCATTCCAGCACGCTAAGTACTCTGGCAGAGAGGCTCTCTGCACAAGCCAAGCCATCCATGTGGCAACTGCATTTCAGGTGTTACTTGCTGCATAGAGATCCAAAGAAGGTACTTTTGTTGGTCTCCATCTGCATGGATAACACTTGAATGAACTCTCTCAGCCAGACTGTGGTGTAGTAATCTAAGGACTATGGGCCAGCTTCCATTCCATATACAGTACTGGATTCCTTTTGGGGGGGAAACCCATAGACCATGACACCTATGCCCGCAGCACATATTCCCTGTTGTGGGAAAATCTGTCCTGCCCTGCGGAGTTGGGGAGAGAATCTTATTTTGCATATAGCGAGTGGCAACAGATTTTAAATGTGGCACTAGCTTTATTTATTTAATTTATATCTTGCCCTGGCTCCCAAAGGAGCCCAGAGTAACCAACACAGCCATACTTAAAGAAAGGATTATAGAACAGTTACAATCAGAGCTTTATTTGGGCCGGAATTCACCGAAACTCAGTTCCGGCACCTCTCAGGTGGGCACCATTGCCATTGTAAGAGAACAAGGGAAGTATTCATGGTGAGTTCCGGCACTTCTTTTTCTAGAAAAATAGCACCGGTTAAAACATTATAAAAACGGTTACAATTGAAAACATTGTTTTGTCCAGTGATACAAGGAGTGCCAGGAACAGTGTTCTTCAGCCTCCAAATGCCCGGGTATGCAGGCATGTTTTCAAATTCCTCCAGAAATAATGCTGGGGACAGATCTACCCCACTAGGAAGTGCATTCCACATATGGGGGACCACTACTGAAAAGGCCCTGTCACATGTCAACACCAATGAGGAAGCCCCCGCTGATGGCACGATCAAGGCTTTGCCTTGTTATCACTCTCTTTAATGTTGTCATGCAAATGGCTATGTTCTACCTCCAGTGCTATCAGTGGTCTGTCTCTGAATATCACTTGCTGGGAATCACACATGGGGACAGTGCTGCTGCACTCAAATTCTGCTTATGAATTTCCCACAGGCATCTTGGCCACTGTGAGAACAGGCTGGAGGGATAGATGAGCTTTTGGCCTGATGCAGCAGGGCTCTTCCACTGTCCTTAAACTCTTATGTATGCACTTCCATGTTCTTCTGTGAGTGCAGGCAAAGAGACTGTAATAAACATGTCAGAAGTGTGAGTTCACTGGATGCAACATTTAATTTCAAATTGGGAGGTGTTGTAATAGCTGTTATAAACAGATCAGTGACCTTGAAACCAATCACATGATCACTTCCAGAAAGTCTTTGCCCAGGAACTTCATGTATCTGTGTTATTGTCATGCAGAAGGGCTTTTAAACACCATTGTTGTGAAAAGTCTATTGATGTGACACAGAACATTCTATTAGAAATGGCCAAGAGCATGCCAAGATTAAAAATTCTTCCCACATGGAAGATTTCACTAATCTTTTAAAATTGCACAACAGTATTCATCACCATACATTTACATTGTCCTTTGAGAGTACTTATCGTCTTAAGACAATAAACTTGTTTACTTGTGAATTTCCAAAGTGAAACCTCAAACTGGTGCAAGCTTTTCTGTCCCCACCCTGTGACACCCACTCTGTTACAGGAAAGAATGAGAGGAGATGATTGGGTGCCCAGAAACACACCACGTTCCCAAAAGACAAAGTGCAGCCTGGCGTTCTCCTTACTTTCCTTTCACAATGAACAGAAGGAGAAGGCAGGGAACATCCATGCTCCTCAGACTCATACCAGCTTGATATTTCTCCTTGGAAAGTAATAGTAAACAGTCCAAAGGCTTGTCAAGAGTTGGCATTCAAAGCCGATTCTTTGCCATTGATACCTGCATGACAGGAAAAAAGTCAATAGGTACAGATACTTTTCATTTCATCCCTCTCACAAGGAAGGGCCAGTCAGCAGAATTTCTTTTTTGCTATGCAATATTAAAGGACCCAGAACCCCTTCTCAGTTTCATGGGAGTTGACAACCCTGTGTTAGGTAAATGCTGTCAATAAAAATACCAAGCTGTTAAAAAATAGTGAATGGAAGCACAGCCTGAAGACACGGTATGATGAAAATGTTATAGAATTAATGCATGAGGTAGAACTGCTGTTTTTTCTCAAGTTGTTATAAAAAAGCATGGAAGACGTTAATTTAAATGTTGGCAAAAACAATTGGAAAGAAAGTCACATGTTATGTTCATGTTTGCTTAAGTAAAGTATACATTTATTTACTCTTGTTTTCTTCCCTAATCATGACCTTTTTGTTTCTGTCGTGTAGCCTAGTTAATATCCTTAGATCTGGTGGAATGTACATATGTCACCAGATCACATAAGGGGGAAAAATTAACTTTTTCTAATTTTTCTACCTGTAGCAAAGTTTGTATTTTTTCAATTGGAAACAAAACAATTTTTGTCTTATTGTCTCAAAGTCAAAACTTTTGTGTATTTGCCCCTTTTGGAAAACATAAAGTATGAGTTTATGCTGTTTTACAAATTTTAAATAAATTCTTATTACACTGCCAACAAATCCATCGACACAGTCTCCTTTATTTTCTGCTAAAATACAATTGCATCCATGTGATCTCCCAGCAAGGTTTAGTTAGCAACAAAGCACTGTCATGAATGAAGGGTTGTAGCTCAGTGGTGGAGAGAAGGTCCCCTGTTCTGTTCCCAGGTAGGGTTGGGAGAGACCTGTCTGAAACCCTGGTGAGCAGCTGCCTGTTAAGAGTACCCAATAAAATTGTCACATTTCCCTCACTTGCTGAAACTCTTTAAAAAAAAAAAAACCTAATAAAAACAACAGCTCTGATATTGGAAACTTGACCTCATTTGTATCCCAGCTTTTCTTAAAGGGAAGCTGAAACCAGGATATACAGCAAGGGTGGGGAACCTCTTCCAAGATTGAGTGCCACATTCTCTCAATGGACAACCTTCCAGATGCCAGAAGTGGATGGGACCAGGGGGGAAATTGGGCTGAGCGACTTACCTCTGTTGAACGACACAGAAAGCCAGACGTTTCTACATCACCCCATCCAGGTAAACAAGAGGATTTTTCTTAGCACAGAATTTCTTTTGGCTGGGCGTTAAATTTCAATAACTTCCTCAGTTTCCTTCCTTTGCAGATAGCAAGTGTGAGCCCCTCCTCAGGCCATAGTCCCAGTCTGTCTCAGCCTCTGTACTATTTTTTCACAGGCATTTGGTTGGCCACTATGAGAAGAGGATGCTGCACTCAATGGGCCATTGGCCTATCTAAACCACTGAGCCCCTTGGGCATGCTGATTAGAAGGTCGGTGGTTCGAATCCCCGCAACCAAGTGAGCTCCTGTTGCTCTGTCTCAGCTCCTGCCAACCTAGCAGTTTGAAAGCACGCCAGTGCAAGTAAATAGTTACCATTGTGGCAGGAAGGTAAACAGCGTTTCCGCGCGCTCTGGTTTCCGTCACTGTATTCCATTGCGCCAAAAGCGGTTTAGTCATGCTGGCCACATGACCCAGAAAGCTGTCTGTGGACAAACGCTGGCTCCCTTGGCCAGAAAGCGAGATGAGCATTGCAACCCCATAGTCGCCTTTGACTGGACTTAACCGTCCAGGGGCCTTTACCTTTACCTTACCTTATGTTCTTTTCGGCTATTTATTAGCAAAGAACACGTTCAGTGGCAAACTATGCAGGTCCCTTCTAGTTTGGCCCTCAGACTGGCTTCTTTCTATACCTGTTATTGTCAGTTTCTGCTAGTGAATCCACTGGCTTTCTTGATTTGCTTTTTAAAGGAGTCAGGCCCATTGTTCATAGCTCCCCACTACCACTTTTCTCCTCCATAGGAAAGAGATGAGGCATACTTGAGGGGAAAGTCTGAAACAGGACAACCGGGGAAGAGAGGAAATGTTGGAACCTGGCAGAGTTCCACTGAAAACAGCTGCTTTGCAGACAACTAGAGAAAGGTTGTGGTTTTATTGTTGGCTGCTGTTGATCTTGACTTGGAAAGTAAAGCATAATTGTAGGCTAAGTGTTTCTGACTGGCTTAGGGAGGCAAGAAATGCAAACAATTATGTAGGTTTAAGAAGCAGACGAGCTCCCTTAAACGGGCTCATCGAATTGCAGGCGAGTCTGAAATCACGGGCTCTTTATGAGTTAAACACAGACAGCTATTCAAGCTGTGAAATTGTGTTCACTGAAGCCCAACATGGAACTTGGCCCACAAGGAGAATGCCACATTTTGGTTGCGACTTTGCCATTGTGAGAGACAATAGCAGCACTGGCTAACACTTCAGATACTGATCCAGAAATCCTTGAAAAGATTCAGATTGGAATCTTTTCTGCAGGGACTCAACATCCTTTACTATTCAGAAGAAAGATTACACTGGTGCCCGGTCTTTGTACGCCAATACCAGGAAGTGGAGTGGTCACAGGCACAGCTTGCTGGCACCCTTAATTTCTAACCTCCTATGAAAGAGGTGCAAGAAACGTTCATACAACATGTTATTCCAGAGGAGCATCAACATCTACTGCAGTGAGAGATTAACTCTGGACAACACAAGGACATTCATTGTGGATGCATTTCTTTCTGCTACCCAATACACAAATATAGAGGACGACATAGCTCCGAGTTATTGGCAGTTAGGCTGTAAAATTTACCCTCTTCTTAATTAGAGATTTCTAAATTAGTTTGTTAAACTGTATAACAATTTCCTTAACAATCCTTACAGCAACGTATCCTTTCCATTTTAATATTGCAAAACAGTAGACAATGGTGCTGTTGTTTTTTTCAAGTTCACTGGGACGCCAATAAAAATTTATCAAATTTGTTTATCAAAATTTCAGAATAAGAACATTTTCATTTATTTATTACAAAGATTTTAAACTACCCTTCTTCAATGCGACATCAGAGTGGTAAGCAATAAGAGATCATAAAAAGATTAAAGAAAAGTTTTTTTTAAAAAAAGTTTATTTTGCTACAAAGTTTATCCATTTCATTTTCCATTTGAACATGATGCAGTGATGTTACTTAATGACTTTAGAAGACTTTATTTTCTTTATGTCAGAACTTCGAAGTATGAGAGTGCCGTTTTTAAAAGTTCCAACCTGCCCCGTTGGTAACATACTCTGCTTTTTCTTCTTTTTCGATTTTCTGCTTTTAAAAGAAAAGTATCATCAGATGCTAACGAAAATACTAACCATTTTTAGGTTTCACAAGAAATGTTTTAAGATAGGTATGCTTTAAATCCAAATACAACAATGTAGCTAAAATTACTACCTGTTTAGGATGCGAAAAGATTGGCAGAAAACACACTATCAGAGTTTTATACTGAGGAGATCACAGTAGTGTGTTCAAAACCAAACAAAACCTGTTTTGTATTCTTCTATTCTTAAAGGAAAAAATTGAGTTCAGGATCCAAAGATTCCTGTAATTAGTTCTACATGTCCGATGTTACAGCTCTCTATGTAACATGGAAATTCACTTTTGAAACTAAAAGGACTAAAAGCAGATTGTGAAATGGCATAGAAGGCTGCAGTTCTAAGAAATAGTCAATGACCCATTTTGCATACAATATTAATCCATAGTTCAGGGCGTGGTGCATAAGAAGCAAAGAGCACCAGGCTCACGTGTTCCTCCTCTCCTAGAGCTGCCATGCGGAGGACAGTGGAAATATCCACTTGTTATCTAACTAGAGTTTCCTGTTATGTCCAGACTTGGGAAATGCTGGTTAGTTTAAAGTGTGGCTTACTAGCAAGGATCATAAACAATGGTTTGATCTTGGCCTGATAGAACCAATTTTCATTTAAACCAGTGTTTGGGAGCCTTGAGCCAGGGGCTGAATGTGGCCCTTGAAGCCTGTCTGTATGGCCCTCAGGACTCTCCTCAGGTCATGTTCCCTCCCCAGCCACACTCCCGCTTGTCCCTAAACACCCTCCTTGAGTATTTTTGCCTGCTTAGAACGTTTCCTTGAACCTGGGCAATGCCCCTTGCCTCCCTGGACTGAGGACAGAGAGGGATGAGTTGAGTGCATATAGAAATTACTCTAGTGTACAAAGGTGAATTGACACTCTTCGTTTCATCCACTTTTACTTCTGGGCCCACTCGCCACTGATATGTGGTCCCCAGCAAGCTACCCAGAAGGGTATGCAACCCTTTGGCTCGAAAAGGTCCTCCATCCTCGATTTGAACAAACCAGAGTTCCCTCAACTTCAGACATAATGAAGAACACTGGTTAATTTAAAAGCAGATCCTTCTTATGTCCTTGCGGCTACAGGGGGAAGAGCAGAAGGGGGGCAGGGATATATGTGAATCCAAGATTCACCAAGGTGCATTTCCTTAGCAATTAGTTACGAATTAGCATTATGTGCAAAAGAAGTCATTCCCCCAGGGAAAGCCTAGGCCCTTGCACACGCATTGAGCATTTTTATGGTTCCTAGCCTGACATTCGGTTACTGTGTCTTCATTAGCAAAGCTGAAAACAGATCCAGTTTCTTTTACTACTCATTGATGTAGTTCCGTAAATACTGTCTCACCTTTCTTCGGGCCCTTTTTTCTTCTGCCTCTTGAGAGAATTAGGTTTATTTTCCTGTTAATGAAAAGCAGTAAGTATACATTAGCAGCTAGCCAGTAGTCTCCGGAGTCAATCAAACATGGCTCCCAAATGCAACAAGTGTTGATTAGAACAGCCACTATGTCAGGCACATGGCATAGTTATTATCCAACTGTGGGCACTGGTGTGGCTTCATCAGAAACCCCCACACTAGATTTTCCAGTGTTCATCCTTGCGGAAACCTGGACTTTTATCCAGCAAGTGGCTGCTGGACTTTGCATTTTGTTTTCATAGGAAACATTTGACACAAACCGTCATGTTTTCTTCCTTCTTTGCTGCTTTCGTTTCTTTGATTTTCTGCTGCAGAATCTTGTAGTTCAAATACTGCTTTTTAGGAGGCTGCAACAATTTCAAAAATGACTCATTTCACCAACATGCAAATAAATACAAAAGGTAAAGGCAGGCTGAAGCAGAAACTTAACAGACGGTGCAACCTTCTCCAAAGGAGGATTCTTGGCTTCTTTAAATATTAAAACATCTGAATTTGATTATTTAACATTGGGGATGCCATTAAAACAGGCCCCCTTGACTAACACAGGTATGACTTTCTGGGATGTGTGGATTGGCTTGGTTTCCAGCCTTCTGACTCATATCACTGAAGCGTTTTAAAAAATGAACTGGGGACTGTTTTGCCAGAAATGCAACCAAGAACCCCCACCCACTATTTTCCCAGTTAGAAGCAAATGCATTGCTGGTATTGAAAGCTCAACCCAACCAGAGCTGAGTTTGAACCAGGGACTGAACTCTAGAATAAAAACTGATTCTAGAGTTCAGTCCTTTACAACCCCTGGTTCAAACTCAGCTCTGGGTGTGTTGAGCTTGCAATACCAGAATAAGATTTTATTCTAGAGTTCTTTCCTAACAAGGGACACGGGTGGCGCTGTGGGTTAAACCACAGAGCCTAGGGCTTGCTGATCAGAAGGTTGGCGGTTCGAATCCCCACAACAGGGCGAGCTCCTGTTGTTCAGTCCCAGCTCCTGCCAACCTAGCAGTTTGAAAGCAGGAAGTGCAAGTAGATAAATAGGTACCGCTCTGGCGGGAAGGTAAACAGCGTTTCCGTGCGCTGCTCTGGTTCGCCAGAAGCGGCTTAGTCATGCTGGCCACATGACCCGGAAGCTGTACGCCGGCTCCCTCGGCCAGTAAAGCGAGATGAGCGCCGCAACCCCAGAGTCGGCCACAACCGGACCTAATGGTCAGGGGTCCCTTTACCTTTACCTTCTTGCCTAACAGCAGTAGTGGTAATGTAAGGAGTGGTTTCCAGCAGAAAAACAGAAGACAGAGAGCCCTACCATTTCCCCCTTGCCTGCAGGCTCAGTGACTGGAGCAGGGGTGGCAGGTAAGGGCTGAAGGTAGGGGCGGGCAGAGGAAAAGTTCAATACTCACTCTCCTGCTCTTGCCTTCTCTGGAAAATCCCTAATGCTACTACCTTCCAGCTGTTTGGCAGTGATCTCTTGGGTGTGCAACTGCCATGCCAAGTTCTATCCAGAGTCTTGTGGTGGGAAGAATTATGTCCTCTTTTTATAGCTCAGGAGAGAAGGAGACACAATACCTTTGCTCCCAACATGATTGCACGTTCTTGTTCCATAACTCGCTGCTCTTTTTTCTCAAATCCGGTGATTCCAAACCGGTGCACTTCCAAACGGGCCTAGCACATTACCAAAATGGTTAACAGCATCTTCAAAAGAACTAAGAGCGCATGATTAGAATGAAGCAATCGTGCTTTCAGAGGAACAGTGTAGGATACCAACATGTGGCAAAACCAAAACACAGTATGAGGAGAATGAGGCATTTGATGGAATTATCCACCATCCACCTCTATGGGCATTTCTCCCTCTGGGGTTTGCAAGAGCAATTTGTCTTCACAAACATCGCTTGATCTCAAATATAACCAAAGATGGAAGACAACTTGCTACCAGTATCAAATAAATTGCATTTGGCTGCAAATCTATGCCCACTTATTTGGGAATGGGCCTACTGAACATAGCTCAGCCTAATTCTGTCTCCCCTACTCCCAGAGCACATTTTCATGGATTTTCTTTTTCAGAGTTCTGTGCATGCCCTTTCCAAATCCCCTAGAATCCCCTAGAATCCTAAAAGAAAATTGCAAGATTAGTTTGGGCAACACAGGGAACCTTAATACCTGTAGAAGGAACTCCCATTTATGTGTGCCCTGTTTCATTTTGGAGGTTCAATAGATTTTCTTTTTGACTTAGAGACTGTCACTATGGCATTCTGACAACCCAGGATCCCTACAGGTATACAACCACCTTTTTGTAGCAACCATCAAAATACTGTGCACGTTGAACACTGGTAGAGCAATCATTTAGGGATAAAGCATGTCATAATTCAATACCCACTACAGATTTATATGCAGTCTCTTTGAGACATCAGCCATCTGCATGCATTGAAACAGAAAAACAATAAAGACTTACTTTTTCCAAGTTAAATTCTTGGTCAGCGGCATGGTTTTCTTGAACAGTCAATTCTGCCTATTAAAAAAAATACAAAACAGCATTTTGAAACAAAGCGCATTTTGCCACACAACTAGATTATGGCAGTGGTTACAGTCACATGATTCCAGGGTTATGGCATAAAAGCGGAAACTTTTATTTTGGACAGCTTTTGATTAAGAACTGTAGCAGGAATCCCCCCACCCCAATCATTCTGCTTGTACAAACTTCACACACACACACACACACTCACACACTACATACATTTTATGCCTTTTAAGAGACCAGGCTATTATGTAGTCCAATGTTTAGAATTAGATAAATTTATAACCATATTTCGTTGTTCCACCTGGCGCTATGCCAACTTTCCCTACCCATTTTAAAAAAAATGTGCTAAAACTCGCTTTACCAAGGAGAAGCTTCTAAGATACATGAAGGTGGATATGCTTTGGTTTAGCAGGAATGATCCCTTATAGAGTTAAATTGACTTATTTGGACAAATGCCCTCTAAGAATGGTTTTGTTTTAACAGATTGGTTTGAGAAGTTGGGAACCATGGGGCAAGATAAATTCAAATTGGACTCAGTTTGAATTGGGCAACTGTATCCAGGCTGCAATTAGCTTTTGGTCCTTTAAGTGCAAGTGAGCAACTTCCCATGAGTGCAAGACCACAGCCTATGATAAAAAATCCCATAGACTGGCCAAGGCGGAGACATTTCCCTCAGGACGTGCCCAAACCTGTGCCAGCTGTGGTGAGTGCCAGACAACACGGTTAATATGAAAGCCCTAAGTGGATTCACCAGGGATTGCCACTGCTGTGACACCATGCTGGTGTGAGACCATAGAAGAGCTACCTTGACACCTGAGAACACAAAAATGGCGGGGGACAAAGCAAACTGCATTTTTCAGTCATTAGTGGACCTTCCTGCTAAATGTAAAGCATACGCCACTATTGAGAAAATATCTCTTCCAAGGTACTAGAATGCCACAAGTAACTGAGCAACAAAATATTAATTTTACATGATATCCTATGTCTAACTATGTGCACTGTCACACCATTATATTTCTATGCAAATATCCTTAAGAAGCATGACCTCCAAGTCCCTTTCACGTTCACATGGACACACGGAGAATAGCAGGTTAATATTTACCACCTTAAATTGTGCGGAGAAAAGGATTGCAAAGTAGCCACCTTTGCAATCTTATCTCCGAAGGGGGGAACTGTAGCAGGAACCCCCCCACCCCAATCATTCTGCTTGTACAAACTTCACACACACACACACTCACACACTACATACGCCACATTTCTGTTATAAATTCATAGAAAATCAACCATACATCGGATTTGCACTGTTCCATTTTTATTTTACTCCATATGACAAGAACTAACAAAGGGGGGTGACTTATTCCTGGTCAGCCATAATCCCTCCACCATCTCAGCACATCCCAGCACATCTGCAGGAGCCCTGCCCAGATGATCCCAGACAGAAGACAATCAAAATCACAAAGAACTTGCATATGGGAGTGGATTCAGCATGGACTGAAACAAAGGACAATGATCAGATCTTCCCTCAGGGGGCAGGAAACTGCAAACTCCCCTTTGTCTCCTGGAAGTGACTCATGGGGAGGGGGGAAAGGAGGAACCAGCCAGGTGACAAGGTACTCAGGTTGCCACCAACTCCTCCCTCAACCCCTCCTTTCTGTAATGTATGCATGATGTTTCTGGGGGTGGGCTTGACCTAGAGGAGGGGAATTTCAAAAGTTTTTATAAGACCTGACACACTATTTTTCTGGGTCTTTCCTCTCACCTGCGAGTGAGGGGAGCACCCTGTCGCGACAGTCTTTCTTCAATAAAGACCAGGCCTACAGGCTGCTGATTTGCTTCAATTTGCTCTGGTTGGTGTTTTTATTTTTGTCCAAGGGAGCCCTCAGATTTTCCTGCAACAGTTGGCGACCATTCTCAGGGACACTTGGTTCTCCTGCAAAGGTGAGAGGGGAGATAGAGGGGATCAGGCGCCACTGGGCAACCTTAGCCCAGGGATCCTTCTTCCTCTCCCTGCCTCCTCTTTGCGGGCGGTAATCAATCGTCACCAAAAGCCCAACCAGGGGAAGCAAAGGCAAGGTCAAGCCGGCTAAGGGGAAAGGATCCCGGGATCCGCGGGGGACATCTTCGAACGTGAGTATGGTTTGAAGTAAATACATTGGGAGGGCGGTGGGAAAGTAACGTCCTCACGACAGCCAGACTTTCCTTCTATCATTTCCGACGTTCCCCCTCGGGGTCGGCCAGGAACGTTCTTGCTCTATTCTTTTCTCCCCGATTCTCCCCTTTCGGAAAGTGGCCAGGGAGGTTGCGGAACTTTACTGTCTGACGTTCCCCCTCGGGGTCGTCCAGGAACGTCAAAACCTTTCCCTTTCTCTCCCCCCAATTTCTTACGCGGTACGTGACCGGGGAAATTGTGGTACTTTACTGTTTTCCGACGTTCCCCCTCGGGGTCGTCCAGGAACGTCTTAATCTCTCTATCTTAATCTCTCTTTTCTCCCCCGTTTTCCGTCTTGGAATTGAGTCCGGGAAAGCGTGGCTCTTTACTGTCTTTCTCTGACGTCCCTCTCTCTGAGTCGTCTGGAGGCGTCCCTCAAAGCTCTCTCTCTCTCTCTATCCTTCTTTCCGCTAATTATGCAAACGAATCCGCCCCTCCTGCCCGGTGACCTTTGTTAGGGATGACCCGGGTACGTGAGAACGCAAGGTCGTTTGTTTCCTTTCCAAGCCCTCATTTTCTCGGACCCTGATCTGGCATTGCATTGCGCAGGCCTTCAGTAGGGGATTCCGAACTTAGTCTCAAAGGCTAGGCAGGAGGCTGTTGTGGGTGGTAGAGGGGGTTTAGTCTTGTAAACAGCGCTGAGGTAAAGGAATGCCGGGCAGAGGGACCCGTGGTTTGAGTTTCCGGGCAGAGGGACCCGTGGTTTTGAGTTTGAGGTTCAGGTTTGAGATCTCCAGAAATTAATTCGTGGTTTATAGATAAGTAGGAATTGTGTTAGTCAAGGGTACTTTGAGTACTGAAAGGATCTTTTATCTGTCCCCCCTTTCTTTCCCATTGTCCCTCCTCCCTTGTGTGTGTGTTTCCACTCTTTCTGTCTTTAGTGTACTTCGTTAACGAAAAAAAAAGCCAAATAATAACATATGAGAGAATGGGAGCTCACTAAACACCCTAGCTGGACTCCTCCTGGCAACAAAGCTTCCATGAAGCCTTTTTGCCCCAGAGAGGATTCTAATATGCCCCTCCAGCATCTCCAGTTGAGAAAAAAATAAAAATAAAGGGGCAATATGGTCTTTCAAGTACAAAGTACGAGACCATTGTAACTTTTAGTGGGTGGCTTAGGCTCACCACCTGGAACCCAGGGCACAGCAGCCACCTCAGGGATCCTTCAACAAAATCAGGGTGTGAACCCTTAGGGCGGGGGGTCGGCAACCTGCGGCTCCAGAGCCGCATGCGGCTCTTTAAAGCCTTTGCTGCGGCTCCGGGGCGGTGGCGAGGGGAGGAGGCAAGGGGCGGAGGCGAGGGGCGGAGGTGACCAGCCTGCCGCCCGGCGGGCGGGGCGCCGTAAAGCAGAGCGCCCCCCTCGCCAGGCAGACATCCGCAGCATGGGGAGCCTTGCCGGACTTCCCGGCAAGGCTCCCGATGCTGCGGATAGCAGCCTGCCGCCCGGTGGGCGGGGCGCCCTAAAGCAGAGCGCCCCCCTCGCCAGGCAGACATCCGCAGCGTGGGGAGCCTTGCCGGAGGTCCCGGCAAGGCTCCCCACGCTGCGGATAGCAGCCTGCCGCCCGGCGGGCGGGGCGCCGTAAAGAAGAGCGCCCCCCTCGCCAGGCAGACATCCGCAGCGTGGGGAGCCTTGCCGGAGGTCCCGGCAAGGCTCCCCACGCTGCGGATAGCAGCCTGCCGCCCGGCGGGCGGGGCGCCGTAAAGAGCGCCCCCCTCGCCAGGCAGACATCCGCAGCGTGGGGAGCCTTGCCGGAGGTCCCGGCAAGGCTTCCCACGCTGCGGATAGCAGCCTGCTGCCCGGCGGGCGGGGCGCCCTAAGCAGAGCGCCCCCCTTGCCAGGCAGACATCCGCAGCGTGGGGAGCCTTGCCGGACTTCCCGGCAAGGCTCCCCACGCTGCGGATAGCAGCCTGCCGCCCCGCAGGCATCGGCCAGCCCCACAAGCTCGGGGGACAGCAGGGAGGCGAAGCGCCGCCATCCCGCTGTTCCTCGACCTGGTTCAGTTTCCCCGACCTGCTTTTGGGGGGGAAATAAAGGGAAATTTTTTCCCCTTTATTTCCCCCCCAAAAAACTAGGTGCGTCCTATGGGACGGAGCGTCCTATGGGGCGAAAAATACGGTATTTTTATAATGACGAATGCCTCATTATTAATTATTATTTACATCAGGCACTGATTATGATTTATGGTACACTGGGGCCCTGATTAATTTTCTATGGCATTTTGGGGCATTGATTATTGGGCATAGCAAGTCGCGGTCGCGTGGAATTTGTGCTTTGTGACCGTTTGAAGTGGGGTTTTTTTCTTGGGAGGCTGGGCGGCACGAAGAGAGGGATTATTTTTATAATGATGAGGATGACATTGGGCCCTCATTATTAATTATTATTTACATCAGGCACTGATTATGATTTATGGTTCACTGGGGCCCTGGTTAATTTTCTTTGGCATTTTGTGGCATTGATTATGCAGTCGCGGTCGCGTGGAATTCCACGTGGAGTTAGTTGCCTGAAGCCCCTTTTTAGTTGCTTGAAGCCCCTTTTTAAACTTAAGCAGGTGAAAGTTTGGTGAATTGCTGCCAAGGAGTGTGGTGGAGTCTCCTTATTTGGAGGTCTTTAAGCAGAGGCTTGACAACCATATGTCAGGAGTGCTCTGATGGTGTTTCCTGCTTGGCAGGGGGTTGGACTCGATGGCCCTTGTGGTCTCTTCCACATATGTATGTGAGCAGGTCTTCTCCAACATGAACTATATTAAAAACAAGCACCGATCACGCCTCACAGATGACAGCT